CTCTATGGCCTTCAGTGTTTTGGCCACATCCTCCACATGCTGCTCCCCATCAGGGCTGTAGATGATCACATCATCTATGTAGCAGAGGGCGCACGGCAATTCCTGAAGCACCTGATCCATGACCCTCTGGAACCGGGCTGACGCATTCTTCAAACCGAAGGGCATGTAATTCCATTCATAAAGTTTGTCGGGACCATGAAAGGCCGTCTTGTGCTTATCTGCTTCTCGGATAGGTATCTGATTGAAGCCTTGTCTCAGATCCAGCGTGGTATATACCCGTCCTTTCGACAACTCATCAAAGAGCTCTTCAACCACCGGCATGGGATAGCGGTCGCTCTTGGTCACCCTATTCAATCCCCTGTAATCACCGCACATCCGCCTTGATATCGTCTCTCCTGTTAGGTCCTTGCGAGCTGCCACCACGGTTGCTGCCGCGTACTTGGAGGTGGATTCCCGGATCAATCCCGCTTCTAACAGCTCTTTGCACTTCTCCTCCGCAATGTCTCGGTCTCCAGGACTCATCCGTCTCCGCCTCTGGTACACTGGCTCTTGGCTCTGCAGCTCTATGTCCATCACTGCCCGATTACACTTGCCCAACTCCTTCACAGAAAATGCAAATGCCCCTCTGGCTGCCCCCAACACTCTCCTCATCTTTTCCTTCTGTCCCTCGTTAAGACCGTCCCCCATTTGCCACTCCCCGGCTCTGTCCTGTGCTCCCTCCACCGGTGCCTCCTCCCTTCCTTCTACTTCTCCTTCAGTGTTCTCTTTGCTTCTCTCCGCCCTTGCTCCCTTTGCCATCAATACCATCCCTTGATGGTTGAACTGGTCCTCTTCTCGCGCTCTCTCCTCCCTCTGATATACTGCCGATTGCCTCCATTGAGCCGCCACCTCCATCGCCATCTCCGGTTCCGTGTCCGTCATCTCTATGAAGTCCCTGTACCTCTGCAGCATGAGCAGCTGCGCTCTCAGCGTTTCATGCCTCTTTTCAGCGCGATACAGCAACCATCCCAAGGCATGCTGGTCAATAGCTCCTCCCAGCGCCTGCCGCCTCACTTCTTCTGACACCCCTTCCGCCGCCGTCGCGTTTCGCAGATAGCCCATGGCTCTCTCACGTTCCACTGCTAGTGGCTCCTCCCACTCCCCCGTCGCCAGCACCTGTACCATTCCCGGTCCCGGTTGATCCCCTTGCATGCTAAAGGCATAGCTCCCCGGTGTCGACACCAGAGTTGGCCAGGCCTGCCGTGGTGCCCCCACCTCGTTACACGGGTACTGCGTCCTTATGTCCGGGCTGACCACTGGGGCCACCCTCCTCCCCGGTTCCAGGATATCCTGCACCAGCAGGGGTAATGGCCGGCGCATGCGACCCAACTGGTCCCGCAGCACTGGTTCTGGGACCATGTTCTGCCAATACCGCCGGATCCGATGTGCCCGAGCACCCATCTGTGCTGCGTCCCATGCTACCCCATGGCCCAGCTCCCGTGTGACCGCCCGGTGCGCCTCCTTCACTAAGCTCCTTTCATCATCCGCCACGTCAAGATTCTCCACCACGTACGAGAACGGGCCTTGCCTTCGCTTTATTAGCTTCATCACCCGAATTAATTCTTGGAATAGAGCCGTCCTGGGGTCTTCTAGTCCTCTCCCTCTTCCTGCTCTGGACAGGCCTTGACACTCCCATCCCGCCACCAGCAGGTCCACTTGCCCCCAGCTTGCTACCACCTCCTCGGTCACCTCCGTCACATCGCTCATCCTTTCCGCCTCCAACCGGGCCTGCTCGACTACGTCTCTGGATAGCTTGTCTGGGAATCGCTCGTGCAGTATCATCGCGTGATGCATCGCCATCCTCCTGACCTCTGGGTTCTTCTCTACGTAGGTCCATCGCTCCACCACCATGCCCAGACGGACACAGGCGGCCAGCCCCGGGCCGACACCCCCGAACAATTCCACCAGCCGTACCGGCCGATTGAAAGTTTCAAAGTCATAGGCTGGTTCGGCCAGTCCTCTGGCCTCCCTCAGTTCCTCCACCCTCGCCCCAGCCGCTTCCTCCATTCTTCGTCGACTGGCTGCCCTTTCCAGGTACACTCCCGCATCTTCCCATCGCTGCTCGGGCACCCGCTGGTGATGCGGCTCTCGATACTCCACCCTTCCTCGCAGAAAGCGCGCCGGTAGGACTGCTCCCTCCTCTCCAGCACGGGTCGCTTCTGAATCCCAATACAGTGGCTGGTAGGTGACCCTCTCCGCCCACGTATCCACCACTGCCCCCACCTTGTAGAGGAGCTCCATACCGAGCAAGAGGTCATAGTCTTCCGAGTCGGATACCAGACAGTGTACTCGGATTCTGGTCTCTTCGGCCCTTCCTGGCGCCAACACCACTTCTTGGGGTCGGATGGTTCTCGGTAGCCATGTTCCATCCCCTCCTTCCGCCGTTTGAATCCTTACTCCTTCCGGCGTCACATTCTCGGCCCGATGCAGTCCCAGCCTTTCGGCCAGTCGCCTTCCCACCAGCACTTGGGACGCCCCGGTATCAATGATTGTTGTGCCCGGGTATTTCCCTTCCACTGCTACCGTCCCCTCCAGCGCTTCCACCACGCAAGGACGAGCCGCCATCCTCTCAAACGGGTGCCTCCTGGGCCCCATTCGGGCCACCGCCCGCTGCACTGCTTCTTCCGCTGCTCCTGCCGCCTCCTCTACGGCCTCGTCTACTGTTGCCCGCGGTCCCCTCCTTACTGTCGCCGTGCCCCTTCGGCCGTCTGCGGCACCACTACGCAGGCCCAGGTCTTCCCTCTCCCTCCCCGGGTTTGCCGCCATGAAGATGGGCTCCGGTCCTTCTTCGTCGGACTCTTCCGCGTACCTTGCGACGTGGACTGGCTTTTCCTCTTCTGCCATCGTGTCCTCTTCCTCTGCCCGAAGCCTCCTCAGCTCCTCTTCCAGCTCCTCGATCCTTCCTCTCCTTCCCCCGCGACCCTTCTGCTCGCGTTGCTTAGTGTAGCAATTGTCAGCCTGATGCCCCTTTCTCTGGCAATAGGAGCAGGTTTGCAGCTTGGGGCAGTCCCTCTTGAAGTGCCCCGGCTCCCGGCACTTGTAGCAGACCGGCTCTTCTCCAGGAGAGTGGGCCGCGCTGCGAGGCTTCCGCGTCCGACTCCTAGAGGCTCGATCCCTTTCCTGGTCTTCCTCTTCCGCCTCCTCCCCAGCCAGTAGGGCCCCTCCCCAGCCGACTCCCCTGCGCTCTCTCTCCCTGGGCGGCTTCTCGGTCTTCCTCCCCAGGTCATAGAGGCTCAGGGACTGCTCGTGTCGCCATGCGATTTCATACGCCTGTCGCAGCGTGGCGTTGGGACCCAGGTCGTATGTCCGATCCCTCACGGTCCGTGCTAGCTCTCCGGCCAGGCCGTCCAAAAATTTGGCTACTATAATACGCGGTTCGCTGCAGCCGATGTCCTCCGCCAGTTGATGCACTCGCCGATAATAGCCCAGGAGAGACTCTCGTGAACCTCGTCTCAACTGGTCGAACTCCCTCATCCTGGCCGGCGTTTGCGTGGGGAAGTGCGCCGCCAATTCTTGCAGGAAGCGCTCCGTCGGGTCCCGTAAGCGGATGGGCTTCCCTTCTTCGTCCCGTAGCAGTCGGCCCTCCTCGTCTCGCTCTTCCTCCTGCAGCAGCGGGTCCCTAATCTCCAGGTAAAACGCTTCCGCCTCCCCCGCCAGCGTGTTCCCCAAAGATCTGAAGAAGTGCCGTAAATCCAGGCCGTCCATCTCCCATCCGTATTTCTCGTTCCGCACGTGCATCGCGTAGGTCTTCACTCTCGGTCCCGACTCTTGATCTCCACTGAAGCGACTCGGAACCTCCACCTTAGGGAGGCTGGTGTATCGGTAGCGTGACCCCTCCTCCCACAGCGAGCGTCTTGAATTCCCGCTTCCGGATGGCGTCATCTGCCCTCCCCTTCCTCCTTCTGATCTGGCAACTGGCGCAGCGATGCCCCTCCCCGCCACCGTCGCCTGTTCTTCTGACGGCGACAGCTCTCCCTGGGTTCTCTCGGCGCGCATCGCAAATCGTCCCGATCCGCGGGGGGTCATACCACCTCCGCGTCGTTCTTCCCGCCGGCCCTTGTCCTCGGCGTCATTCCGGGCAGTTACTCGCTCGGGATCGGATCTCTCCCCCGGGCTTCCTTCCACTTCGTTCCCCGCCGGAACTCCTTCCTTCTCCGGTGGTTCTCCCATTCCGGACAGCTTGGCACCACTACGTAGTGACATGCCCGCCATGACTTTTGTTTGTAAAGAAGCCCTCGACGCGAGTGGCTAGTTTCCTTCCCTAGGCACAAATGGCCGCACTAGTTTGGCTTCTCCGACGTGGATCTAGCAGTTGCTCAGCTTGACGACAGATCACAACTGAATCACAAGCTTTCCCACAATTACGAGAAGACAAACAAAAGTGAATTGGTGTCCTTGCTGTGCTAGTTTTGGCTTCCTGTCACCCCTCGTGAATCTGTGCCTTGGGGTCTGCCAACTACCTCTCGCACCGCCCAACCCTTGGGCTCCTTTCCATGCATGCGACTCGGGCAAGCCTCGTCACCCCTGTCCCCCTTCCGCTTCACCGGTGGCCCTTGCCAGGTCAGCCGTCGTCCCGTCCTCATTTCGAGAGGCCCCGCCTCGATTCTCCTATCCCTGCCACAATTCTAATATCACCACAAAACCCCCCCCCTTACCCGTACACTCTACAGCACAATTTATAACAACAATACAACTATACTACTTCCCTTACGATTTACCCAACCATACTCACCTTAGGAGCTGTCTCATGAACTTTTGTGCACTCACTCGCAAGAGTCATGCGACATCCGCACTAATCTGCCCTAGTCACGCCATTTTGGGTCGAACCAAAGGTCACCCTGCGTTGAGCCGACTCACAAGTTACCTCACCTTTTTTAGGAAATTGGTGTGCTCGCCTCACACGGTGTTGGGGAGAGGGGAGAGCTACCGTTTGAGTCGACTCAAAAGTCACGAGTCACAAGTCACCTCACCTTCTTGAGGAACCTGGAGTGCTCGCCCATACGCCCCATCACCTCGTTGGGCAGAGGGTGCAGAGGAGATGGCCGCTGCTCAAGTGTGCTCCTTCCTTTGTGTAGCAAACTGCTCACCTTCTTGAGGAACCTGGAGTGCTCGCCCATACGCCCCATCACCTCGTTGGGCAGAGGACTCTTCAGATACGCCTTGCCCCAGAGGCTGCACAGCGGAAGGGAGGGTATTGAGGAGGGGGAGAAGCAAGGAGGGGATAGGAGCGGGATCCAACCCTGGTGTGAGTGAGTGGGGCTTGTACGCCCCATCACCTCGTTGCGGAGAGGACTCTTCAGATACGCTTTGCCCCAGAGGCTGCACAGCGGAAGGGAGAGGACGGGGAGACGTGGGGAGAGGATAGGAGTGGGATGGTCCTTGTGTGTGTGTGAGCGTGCTCATATGCCCTATCACCACATTGGGAAGAAGGCTCTTCGACTCTCTCTATCCACACCAAACCTCGGCGTTGCTGGGAAGATCACAAGAGCATTCGAGCCTAGACAACACATACAGTCACACGGACTCGTCAAGTCACACACGTGCACATGCGTCACTCACTCTGCAGCAGACGCGTTGAGCTGCGAGATGAAGTTGGACCCCCCATCCACTCCAAACCCCGGCGTTGCTGGGAAGATCACAAGAGCATCCGAACCCAGACACCCCACACCGTCACACGGCTCCGCTACAATCACATCCTCGTTTGTCACGTCTCTTTTGGACTCCTCGTTATTATCACCAGTCCCATCAGCACCATCAGTTGTATTATCAGCATGAGACACCTGCGTGTGAACGACATCAGCATGAAAGACCTCAACGTCCCCAGTCTCAATTGCTGCTTGCAAAAGCCTCCTCCCACCACCGTTTTTAACTTTCTCCCCTCCTTCCTCCTTTGAATCTCTCTCTCCTCCTTTACCACTGCCTCCTCCCCCTCCTGGTGCTTGCTCCTCTCCCTTGTCATTCTCTTCCCTCTCTTTTTCTCCCCTCTCCCTTTCTTCCCTCTCCTTTTCCTCGGCAGCAGCCTGCTGCTTCCTCTCCTCAGCAGCCTTCCAGGCCTGACGTGCCTTGAGAGCGATCTCCTCACACTCCTGGGATGAAAACCGAAAGAAGTAGCACTCTAGCGATCCGCGGCGGCCCAGCTCTGGGTGGGCGGAGGGCAAAAGGAACAGAAGCAACGCACGACAAGTCAGATGCGATTTGGGAGGAGAACCGAAAGAAGTAGCAGTTAAGCGACCCCCTGTGGCCCAACTCTGAGAGGGAAGAGGGCAAGAGGAACACAAGTTGACGAGGGTTTATGCCTCGAGAGCGATCTCCTCACACTCCTGGGATGAGAACCGAAAGAAGTAGCAGTCAAGCGACCCACGGCGGCCCAGCTCTGAGAGAAGGTAAACGGGGCGAGGAGGAAAGCCACATGATGCAATCCAAGCGAGTGGGTGTGGGTGGAGGGGAGGGGACAGAGTGGGGGGCGCTTGGGTGGGGAGGAGGGAAGATTGTGTGTGTCTCGTGCCTAATCAGCCTCTCAAGTTACTCTTTATTGCATTCCTCATGGTCAGCCTGATACTCCTCAAGTTAGTCCACACTACACTCACTAACTCACGCACTCACCCACCCACTGACTGACTTACTCCCTCACTCACCCACTGACTCACTTACTCACTCACTCACTCACCCATTGACTGACTTACTCACTCACTCACTCACTCGCTGACTTACTCACTCACCCACTGAATGACCTACTCACTCACTCACTCACTGAATTCATCACTCACTCACCCACTGACTGACTTTCTCACTCACTCACCCACTGACTGACTTACTGATAGAATGACAAACAAGCACGTTTACTCACACCCACTCACTCACTCTCGCATTCCGCGTGGTCTGCCTGGGGCAGAGTGGCGGGCATGAGCACAAGAGTCCTGTTGTGCAGCAAGGCGGCACTCAGCACAGCGCCCATCACGTGCAGCTGTGACCCTATCCCGTGCCACCCCATGCTCAGCCACTCCACCACCATCACCCGCCGCCCCTTGCACTGCCTGGGTGGGAACTGCTGTCGCCATATGTCAGCTTGTGCTTGCCGGGTGGCTGCCAGGTTGGCAGCATCAGAGCCTCGGATCTGCCCGAGGGGTAGAGGGCAGGGCAGAGGAGTAAAATACACGTAATTCTCACTATAATATACCCTAGCCCGTGCTGTTCGGTTGGTATTGTAAGAGCCCCTGGTCTGAAGTACGGGATTGTGAACAGAAATAGCAGACAGCTTATTCGTTCACTTCACAGTTTTTCTTCAACAATTCTAGGGAAAAATGCACCACGAATGTAAAATGCTTGAAACGGAGAGATCCATCACAGTTTTACAGGCGCTTTAAGAGTCCACTCGAAATCACAAGTGCAGCACAGCACAGGAAAGGATATAACTCCAGGCCCTCACCCAGGGGGGTTGGGGCACGTTCCCGCAGGCAGGGTTGGGTACAGCCCAGTAGGGCGGTTCCCCCCGCTCCCCCCATTTCTCGGTGGACAGGCGGAAGGCTGTGCGCGCCTCACAGTCCTCCAGGTGGGGCGCGGGGGGAACGTCCGGGGGAAGCGAGATGGCGGAGGGGGGGAATGTATTCTCCGCCTGGAGCCCATAGGCGCTCTCCCAGTGCTGGTTGGGAGGGAGGCGGAGGGATGGGAGAGTCCGTGGTGAGGAGCGGCGGAGGATTAGTGAGGAGGAGAACATCAGGGGGAGAAAGGGGATGGAGGGGGCGGAAAGGATGCAGCCCGGATGCGCTGTTTCTATTAAAGGGATCAAACGGGGGGGTGTGAAAGAGGAGACTCCATCTCTGTATGAAGTATGAGTTAGTTGGTAGGGTTGGGAGGGAAAGGAGGGAGGGGGTGAAGGGGAAGAGCGGCTGGGAAGGGAACACTGGGGAGAAGGGACTGACCGAGGCGATCGACTTTAGGCTGACTGAGGGTGCAAGTTATTCCTTTTTTTTCGCTCACAAACGCATGCTACAGGCTGTGACGCAGATCCCCGATACAAGCATACCTGGTACAAGTTTCGGACAGCCTCCGAAAACGGATCTTCCTCGGAGGGCTGAACCGCATCCGCCGCTCTGACGAATCGTGCGGGGAGCGCAACATTCATGAGAAGTAGAGGGATCGCAATGGTCACCCGGAGAAGGGTCATGGTCACGCGAGCCGCGATCGTACTGTGACGGAACATATTTCTTGGCTTCGAGACGGACCGTGAGGTTACGAAATGAGTTTTTGCGACGTCTCAAAACGTCAATGTACTGTGACGGATGCTTTTATCTGGCTACGACGGCCTGTGAGGTTGCGAATTCTACCCCTCCAGCCGACCACGTCCGCAGTGAGCGCGGCTAAATGCGAACCACTGTCGCTCGGACCATATACGGACTAGCTACAATGGCCGACGGAGCTACGACACAGCTACGAATCCTTGGGTTCAGCGAGCTAAGTTCTGCGATAGAAATGCTTTTGAACGTACTGAGCATACACCACGCATGATGTGGACTCCGAATCAGCTTCATCCCAAAAATCACAACGCAAAATTCGCTCCGAAGTCGAGGGATAGTGTTATGGGTTGTGAAAGGAAGAGTGCGCAGAAACTCAATAATGCGGAAGTGATTACAACGTCTGAGAACACGAGGCCTAGGACTAATATAGCGACGCTAGCTAGGCCGAGGTCGCGGGGTCGCGAGATGGTTGGGTGCAGGTTCGGGGTTGGGAAACCCGAAAGCGACGCGGTAGTGGCTCGGAAGGCGAGGTCGGCGGACCGAGCCTGGTTTTCCAAAAGTCGGGGTTGTACGCGTACAGTGTGACCCAATAAGGAATCCGTGAGAATTCCTTACACTACCCCCCCCCTTAAGAAAGGTGGTGAATATCCGAGACACCCCGGCGGGCCAGGTAAGCATCCACAACCGGATGTCCCAGTAGTGAGTCAGCGGCGACATACGTGTCATCCTCGCTCATGTGTTCTTTCCAGCGAAGCAGGAATTTCACTGAGCGGCCGGTGGCGGTCACGTCCACGCGATGGTTGAGAATCTTCCAAGGTTCCAGCGTGGGCTCTGCCACGGGGCGTGTGGTCGGCGTGATGGTTGGCCGAGCAACAGCTGGCGACTGCGGTTGTTCGTAATGACGCAGTAGGCTGACGCGGAATGCGTCGTGTATTTTCCAGTCGTCGGGCAGCAGCAGCTTCGCGGTGACAGGTGTCACCATCTGGATGATACAAAATGGTCCCACGTATCGGGGCCGTAGTTTCGCGGGCTGTGGCAGTTTGAGATTCTTGGTTTCCAGGAGTACAACCTACCCTGCGCGGAAGGGTAAATTTAGTCGGTGTTTATCCGCTTGGCGGCTGGCCGTGGTATTCGCCCTACGAATGAAATCAGCTGCTTTCGTGCGGGCAGTCTGCAGCTCCATGACAAATTGCTGCGATCTTGGCACCGGGTTTTCCACACTCGTTGAAGAGGGTACCACGGGATCTATCCCGTAATTCAGGAAGAAGGGTGATTGTTGAGTCGTGGCCGACGGGGCGTTGTTTTATGCGAATTCCAGCATCCGCAGTGAATCTATTGGAAATAAGAAGTCGCTAGAGCGGAGCGGAAGCTCTAGGAATTAACAATGTCCCTACGGCGAGGCTATTGGTCACTCAGAGGTAGCTTTCCTGGCTTGTAACGTGGTGCCAAAGAAGCGGCCGAGGGTAGGCCGGACACAAGCTTGAGAATTATGTAATATGAGCAAGGCATTACATTCTGTTACATAGCAAACGCATAGGGCAAACAGTTACCAAGGCGCAACTGTATAACACTTGCGCTGCGTCGCTTGGGTTGCCTTGTTACAGTCGCGCTGGCGAGAATTTTCAGCTTCGGCAAGGACGCGGTATCTTGCCGCTCCCTACAGGTCAGTTTCGCGTACTGTAGACGATGACTCCTGCTGTCGATTCGATTCTTGAGTTGCCACGCGGGTCGCAACCGCTGTGCTCGGTTTGAGGAAAGTAGAACGAGAATGAATGAACTATGAATGGAAGTGGTACAAATATGCAACCCTAGAAATGTGTACCCCATATACGCTACCCCACTATAGCCTACACAATATTATAATTTGACACACCCCCATAGACAAAGTGGGGGAGAACAAGGGGTCACAAGACCAGTCAAGCAAAGCAAAGCAAAGCTCAGGGTGGATCACAACGTCACCACACAGTCCGAGCACAAGGTCAAGGCCACAAGGCCAGTTCGCATGCAGGAGCGCACATATATATATAAACGGCTAAACAAGCAAGAGCAGGTATATATACATATATATATATGTAAGAGTACAAGCAAGATCAAGAGGTGAGCAAGTGAGGCAAGACAGGCACAAGACCCAGCTGAGTGCAGAAGCGCTGATGATCACAAGGCGGAAGTGCCTTGGTGAAAACATCAGCAGTGTTGGCCTCGGAGGCCACGTACGCAAGTCGCAACTGACCACGCTACTGCAGCTCACGAGCAAGAAAGTAGCGGAGAGCAATGTGCTTCGTTCAGTGCTCCAGGCGTTGCTCCCGACACAAGGCCAGCATGGCCTTGTTGTCTACGTACAGCACCGGAGGAGAACGAGGCGGCTCTCCGAGGTCAGTCAGCAGGTAGATGAGCCAGCGGAGCTCCTATGCAGCCATGGCCCCGGCGTAGATCTCAGCCTCACAACTGGAGCCGAGAACAGAAGACGAGCGAGTAGTCCGCCACGAAACAGAGCCGGAACCAAGACTGAAGGTGTAACCCTGTGACGTCCGCTGCCCTACACCACCCGCGACGCCCGAGCCGCCTGAACCGCCCGAGCCACCCGAGCCGCCCGACCTGCCCGAGCTGCCCGAGCCGCTCGAGCCGCCCGACTCTCCCAAGCCGCCCGAGCCGCCCGACCAGCCCGAGCCGCCCGAGCCGCCCGAGCCGCCTGAGGAGCCGAGCCGCTGGTGCCACGGCCCTGCCGGGCTGGGCACGGAGCCGCCCTGCCCGGCCCTGCCGCAATGCGGGGCGACGGGGCCGCTGATGAGGGCGGCTGGGCCGCTGAGACGAGCGGCGGGGCCGCACTAAAGGGCGGCGGGGCCGAATCGACGGGCGGCGGGGCCGAATCGACGGGCGGCGGGGCCGCTAGGGGAAGGGGCCGCTAGGGCGAAAGGGCTGCTAGGGCGTAGGGGCCGCTAGGGCGGCTCGACGAGGTGAGAGCCCGGAGCGCGACTCGGGCGGAGCGCTCTTCGGGGAGGAAAAAAAAAAGGAACTCGATGTGGTGGGCCCTACGCACAGTTCCCACGGGGGAACCTGCTCGATACCATGTGGAAAGTAGAACGAGAATGAATGAACTATGAATGGAAGTGATACAAATATGCAACCCTAAAAATGTGTACCCTATATAGGCTACCCCACTATAGCCTACACAATATTATAATTTGACACGGTTGCGGCCCGTTGACTCGCCACCAGGTTCAAATCCCTCGCTATGGCGAGCCCTTGTAAATACACTTCAAAAAGTGCACTTATAACAAAAGCATACAAACATATTCTCAACACTCCCCTCCACTGTTAGAAGTGTAGAAACGAGGAGAGTTGCAATCTTGCTGGGTTGAAGTTGTGAAGTCCTTGCCAGGGACTTAGCTATAACTGTCAAACTTATATGCTATGGTCTATCTAGGCTGTAGTGGGGTAGACACCACCTCCTCCGCCCCCTCCAGCCCCTCCAGCGCCCTTGCCCCCCTTGCCCTTGCCGGTGTGGCGTCTCCCACTCGGGGCAGACGCAGCGCCGACCGACTCGAAACCAACGAGGTCGGCCGCAGCAGCAGAGGCAACAGAGGGCAAGAGGGGGGAGGGAGAACACCCCTCAAAGACGGGGGTGCGAGGGTCACCACGAGAGGCTCCTACAGCGACTATGCTCTTCTCTATCGCTAGGAGGGCCTTCTCGAGGAGGTCAACGGTGAGAGTGGTGGGGCAAACTGAGAGGAAGTGGTCACTGACTTTTTTTTTTTTTTTTTTTTTTTTTTTTTTGATATCATATACATTACAGGAATGTACAGACATCGGCAGTCGTAACTGGTGACATGGTCACTGACTACGCGGAGAGAGTCAGGGAGCCAGGTGACTATGTAGTAGAGGGTGATGTACATGGGGGGGGGGGGGGTTCTTGGCGCAGAACTCAGCAGGAAGCGCAGCGCGGTAGCGAGTGTCACTAGTGCGGAGGTGCGGAATGAGGTCAGCGACTGTGGGAAAGGCAGCAAGGTAAGAGAAGAGGTACGGTAGCATGAGGCGGCTCAGTGCAGTAGTGGCAGGGGAAGAGTAGCGTGCAACTACAGCGTCGTACAAGGTCTGAGCACTCTTGTACTGGCTAAAGTGTGCATGCTCAGTGGTCGGTAAGTGGCGGCGAGCAGCAGCGTCGCGCGTGGCCCACTATGAGCGAACACTGGCATCAGCATTAGCAGCAGGGGCAGGAGAGGCACCAGAAGTGAGGTCAAACAAGGAGAGGCCGTTTGCCCTATCGCACTGTAGGAAAAGCTGCAGATCATCTACCCAGACCTCAAAGTCAACTGCTCGACCCTCAGCGTCAAAGGTGAGAACGCTAGGGGAGGCCATAACAGCAATAGACAGGTAGTGTGTACAGTAGGGCAGGGCAGTGCAGTGGCAGAGACTCTGCTCTTACCAGGCAAGTGGGGCGGTAGGGCGGCTCGGCGACTCGGCGGTCGACGGCTCGGCTGCTCGGCGGCTTGGTGGCTCGGCTATCAGGGGGCTCGACTGCTAGGCGGCTCGGCGGTCGGGCGGCTCGGCTGGTCGGTGGCTCGGCGGCTCGGCTGCTCGGTGGCTCAGGCGGCGACGGGGCTATGGAAGGGCGGCGATAGGGCCGCTGAAAGGGCGGCGACAGGCCGCTGAAAGGGCGGCGACTGGCTGCTGAAAGGGCGGGCGACGGGGCCGCTGAAGGGCGGGCGTCAGGGCCGCTGTAAGGGCGGGCGGCGAGGCCGTGAAAGGGCGGCGACGGGGCCGAAGGGAAGGGCGGCGACGAGGCCTCGTAAGGGGCGGCGCGACGGGGCCGCAAGGGCGGCATGACAGGGCCGCAAGGGCGGCATGACGGGGCCGCATAAGGGGCGGCGCGACGGGCCCGCAAGGGCGGCGCGACGGGGTCGCAACGGCGGCGTGACGGGACCGCGTAAGGGCGGCGTGACGGGGCCGCAAGGGCGGCACGACGGGG